TGTCTTCTACAGAAGAAAGGTTTACATTTTAAAAAATATTCTAGCAATAAATTTCTTTTAACTAAACAGAATCATGCAAGCTTGTTGTGACATCGCCTTCCAGTATGCTCATGTTAGGGAATGTTTTGGTGAGAAGATTGGACATTTTCAGGTAATTGTGAGAATGTCAAGTTAAACTTTCCATTTTATTTTTGCAGCTTTTTACAAAACATCTTTCTTTTTGTGTGTGTGTGTGTTAACAGGTACTACCCTTAAGTAGGATGTAATGACAGTTCCCTTAAGTAGGATGTAATGACAGATTAACATCAAGAGCAGTTCTTTAATGATGCATATAAGAATGTGACTTAAGATTTAATGCACCCAGGTCCATGATCATCAGGGACCAACAGGTGCCTTGAAAGAAAAAAAAATGGAGCAGATCTTTTGGTTTTAGGAAATGAAATAAATGGTTGAAATGTATATATTACATATTACTTGTTATAAAGTATTGTTGAATTTAGTATAATAACACTAGCCTACAATTGATCCTCTTTTTGTGAAGATGTACTGATACTGTAAAGTCTCAGGCTAAAATCTAGGTGAAGACTGGTACTTTGAATTTAGGGATTTTGAGGACACCCCTGGGTCCACCCAACTCTAATGGGTACCTGACATTAGTTGTGGAAAGTAAAGATGGTTGTTTTGCTGGCCACATAACACCCTTGATAACTGTCAGCCATAGAAACAGATGAAATTTGCATTATCTGCCCTGTAGGTCACAAGGTCTGAAAGGATTGCTGTACTTTTTTTAACTGATACATGCAGGATGACTTTAGTTTTTGTTACACTCAAACTAAGGACCCACAGATACCTTATTATGCTACTGATTTAATGTCAAATTTATCAAATGGAGATTTTAAAATTAACAAAAAAAGCTTACTCCTTTGCTTAATTGTACACCTTTAATTTTGCGTATAGATGATCCAAGCTAAAATGGCTAATATGTACACCATCTTGAATGCAAGCAGGTCATATGTTTACAATGTTGCAAGATCACTGGACCGTGGAGAGCGACGTCCAAACGTAAGTTATTTCATAAGTAAAATGAGTGGCTGAACAATGAACCCAATGTCGTCTATTTTGGTTTTGAAACACACCCCTCATTGTATTTCTAGAGAGAAAAATCTGAATTTTTAAAAAATTAAACATTCTTTTAAACAATAATCAATTAACAACTTTAAAATATAGAAAAAATATGTCTAGTCTCAAATAATATATACTTTCAAATAAATGCAATTTAAAAAAATACTCAATTTCTGGGCTGCCGGCTTATAGACTGGGGGTAGGGGCACTTTTGTTTAAAAAATGATTTTTAAAAATGAATAAAATAGCTAAACATATCCAGTCATACTCAGGTCATTCCTATTTCCAATGCCTTTTTTTTATTGTCCTTTATTCCATAATCAATTTTGGAAAGATTCCGACAACCAATCCTATAGGTGAGATGAACTGTGCAGTGATTTGTTTGGATGTGAGCTAGACCATATTTGGTTTATGTTATTCTGGCTGCCTGGTTGTGCAGTGTGCACACTGGACTGTCGTTTGGTCTCCTATCTTATATATGTGGGAAGGTCGATAGGCCAAGTGCGCTTGAACTTGGCTTGCCTTGGCTACCTAGAAGGCGGCTCGAGGTTCGACACCCGACTCGGGCAGAGTTGTGTTTACTGAGTGCCTAAAGGCAGCATGGAAAACCAACTCCTAGATACCCCCTCCCCCCCATTGGACCAAAAGCGCTCTGAGCATGCTATAAGCATGAAAGTAGCACTATATAAAAGCTATAATAATAATAATAATATTACATTACAAACGTTACTTCAAAAAAGAAGATAAATCCGTCCTATGCATTTCATGTGTCAATCTAGTCATGCATGTTAATCAATGACTTAAACTCTGCTAAGTTGTTGGTTTTCCTAGCTGATTTAGGCAACCCATTCCATTCTCTAATGGCACTAGGGAAGAAGGAGCGCTTGTATGGATTTGTTCTAGTGTATGAAATAGCTGATTTAGGCAACCCATTCCATTCTCTAATGGCACTAGGGAAGAAGGAGCGCTTGTATGGATTTGTTCTAGTGTATGAAATAAGAAATATGTCTCTTTGTATCTATCTGAGTATTTCATTAGGTTTTGTTTCTCCATTTGTAAATTATCATTCAATGTATTATCATTAATTATCATTCAATCATTCAAAATCTCACTGTTCTATTTTGCATTTGTTCTAGTTTCTTTATGTTTTCTTGATTGAGTGGTCCCAAAAAGAGGATGTATATTTTAATATTCTAAGGTTAAATAGCAATTTAGTTTTATGCTCCATTTGATTTGTAAAAATTTCATTTACTTAACCCTAATGCTTTGATTTTTTAATAATTTCATCAGTAACTTTTCATTTATTATTACACCTAGATATTTTGAGTTTCTAGTCTGTGTAACTGATTTGCCATGAATAAAATAAGTAGTTTTCATTTGTTTCGTTAGCATCACCTGTCCCATAGATCACAGGGTCTGAAAGGGAAACTTTACTTTAATCCTGGTCTGTTGGTTAAGAAAAAATCTAATATGTGGTTTAATCGTTTTTTTTTATAATTTGATCTAAAGGTTAATTGTGCTATGTTTCTATAAATATCTCATTTATATTTTATGGTTTTGGAGTTGATCTATCTTTAATGTTTTCTAATTTATATCTGGGGGGATATCAGAGTATTACTAAAGCGATTACAGATCCTGGCAGATCGTGTTTATCCAGAGTCGCAGTGTGGCTTTAGGGCACGTAGATCTACAACAGATATGATTTTCTCTCTGCGGCAGCTACAGGAGAAGAGCAGAGAACAAAAGCAGCCCCTCTTCATAGCATTTATTGATTTGACCAAGGCCTTTGACCTTGTTAGTAGAAGCGGTCTGTATTCTGTACTAGAGAGAATCGGCTGCCCAAATAAGTTAAGAAAACTAGTGTCAGCTTTTCACGAAAATATGCAGGGCACTGTTCAGTTTGAAAGTTCTTCCTCCAGGCCATTCTCCATTAAGAGCGGTGTAAAACAAAGATGTGTACTGGCCCCTACACTATTTGGCATCTTCTTCTCAGTCGTACTAACCAGTGCTTTTAAATCCCTGAAAGATGGAATATATATCCATAGCAGATCCGATGGAAGACTCTTTAACCTGACATGTCTTAAAGCCAAAATGAAAAGGCGTCGTATCTTGATAAGGGAGCTGCTGTTTGCCGATGATGCAGCACTCAAATCTCACTCACAAGGAGGTCTACAGAAGCTAGTGAACGCCTTAGCAGCTGCTTGTCAAGAGTTTAGCCTTACTATAAGTCTCTCCAAGACCGAAATCCTGGCACAAGACGTCGCAGAAATACCTATAATACATATTGGGAACCACACCCTTTCAGTGGTGCAGGAATTTACCTACTTGGGTTCAACAATTGTCAGTAACCTAGACTTAGACATCGAGCTGACAAAAAGGATAGGAAAAGCTACCACAGCATTGGCAAAACTCTCCAAGCGCGTCTGGGAAAATGGTTAATTGACCACAGCGACCAAAATCCTAGTCTACAACGCCTGTGTTGTGAGCACTCTCCTTTATGCAGTGAAAGCTGGTCAACATATATGTACCAAGAGCACAGCTTGAATAGTTTCCACTTACGCTGCCTGAGACGCATTATAGGCATCTCTTGGAGGGACCATGTCTCTAATCAGGAAGTTTTGAGATTGGCCAATATGAACAGCATGTATGCTCTCCTGACACAAAGAAGATTACGCTGGCTCGGACATGTCACCTGCATGCCAGATGGTGGAATCCCGAAAGATATCTTATATGCTGTGCTTGTGGAAGGAGTCAGACCCAAGGGCCGCCCAAGACTAACATATAGAGATGTCTGCAAGTGAGACATGAGAGCCACAGGCATCAGCGAAAGTATGTGGGAAAACATAGCCAAAGACCGGAGTGCATGGAGACAGACTGTGCGTGCTGGGACCATCCTTGCTGAGAATAAAAGAATTGAAGCGGCCTTAATGAAGAGGGAAAAAAAGAAAGCTGCCCTGTCCGCTAGCCCTGAATCAGAGGCATACACATGTACGAATTGTGGCAAAGTCTGCCGTTCTAGAATTGGCTTGATTAGCCACACCAGATTCTGCCCCGCCTCAAGATTAAGTTAAAACCAGTGACTCATTTGGGCGCATCCATTGCCTTTCGAGACAAAAGGAGCCATATATCTGGGGGGATTGAAGTTTCCTATAATCCACTAAACTGTTTTTATGTTTTCATTTAAGTATTAATTAATTATTAAAACTTGGTGTCTAATTTCTTGCATATTTTGACTACGTACATTGCCATCCTTTCTGAGGACTGGAAAAGTGAAAATGTAGTAATAATTTAAAACGATTGCATTTTATATTTACAGGACTGTGCCGGGGTCATTTTATTTACTGCTGAAGCTGCTACCAAAATGGCTCTTGATGCTATTCAAATTTTAGGTGAGTAGTGATGTGAAAATTGTTGATAATTCCCTTTTTATTATTTTTGTTTGCTCTAATCGATTCCCTTTAATCTTTTTGTTTTAGGTGGAAATGGATACATCAACGACTATCCAACTGGACGCTTGCTTAGAGATGCTAAACTTTATGAGATTGGTGCAGGAACAAGTGAGATTAGGCGTCTAGTGATTGCAAGAGCCATTAATGCACATTATAGATAAGTCTTAATGGTTATTACTTGGGATACAACTTTAGAAAACTGAAACTACCAAAAGAAATTTATATGGATTATATTCTTACTGAAAATTAGCAAACATCATTATATTAATTTATTTTGAAAGCTTTATTTGAGTGGTCATTGTGCTGGCTACATAAAACCCTATAAACCTAAAAGATCAAAGAGAAGCCTGTTCCTTGTTGTTAACATAAATACTTTAGATGTTATGTACTGAGTATGTACATTTTGAGTTTACAAGAATGTTTTCAAGTAATTGACACTTTGTTTTACTACAATACGAAAAAAATGCAATGTTTTCCTAAAACAACTTGACATGGGCCCACAGACCAAGAATCTGCAAATTTCGACTGATATTAGAGTGATATATTATCTCCTAGTAAAGTATTCATGTAATTACTTCCAATGTTAGTGTATTATTTGTAAAATAGTGGAAGCCTGTTGTATTTAGCAAAATAGATGTCTATTGTTTATTTTATGTGTTACTTTATGCTAATACATTATTAAGAATGCTCATGTTTTTTTTTAATATTAATTTATAATAATTTTGAAGATTATTTCTGAATAATAAATACAACAATTTCTAATCTACCGTTACATACACACTATTTTATTCTTTAAACTTCTTTATGAACTTTGTGTCTTCTCTTTTTGGAATGTTATGTTTTTAAGGAGTCCTCAAGATCACACATTTCCAATAAGGATTTTGATCCAGAGAAATAAAACAGTTTCTGATATACCTAATACTTTAACAGAGAATATTTTTTTCTTTTAACTTCTTGGAATATAATTTTTTATCATTGGGGGGGGGGGGGGGCTGGGAACACATTTCAAAGTTGGGGTACACAAAAACTGACTTTTATATTTGGATTTGAATTATTTTATTATTTTAGTTATTTTATAATATTTTAAATAATGAAGGCAAAATAAAAAAAACCCCAGCAAGAATCATCATGTTAATTGTTTATTGACAATACTGAGTATCTAAACCAACAAAAGTTGGAAACAAAATAAAACAAAACAACAGTGACCAGATATGCAGATATACAAGACATTTTGTCAGTATAACTTGAGAAAACACTGAAATGGAATAAAAGCAGTGCTGTCAATACAGCTTCAACTGAGATGTTTTAAAATACATACAATACTACAAAATACACATATGCGTTAAGTACTGATAATAATATTAACTACATAATTTACTGGCTTATTAAAATATTTTTTGATACACCTCGATTATGTTACTAAACTTTAAAAAATAAAGTCAGTCCAACAAATTTTTAGGGGAGGCTTTGTGCTTTATACAAATGATCAATGAACACATCTAAAACTGAATACCAGTGCATATGACTTAAAAATTATATAATAAAGCACCATCTATTAACAAGTTGTATAAAAAAAAATAACACAGGTAACCTTAAAATGTGTAAATGAATGCAAAAATGTAATAAATTTTAAAATTGTAAAAAGAAGATATTAAAAATGACATGGCTGAGATTCCATACACATTTTAATAATCAATTAAGCAGTTGCTGTATTATGTCCATTTCAACAAATAAGTTTATATGTACACACAATACTTGAGGCTTAGGGTCAAAATAAACAGTATATACACATAAATACAGTTGTGGTCTGAGATGTCAAGTAAAACCTTTTCTGGTGTATCAACTTCCTATCCTAAGTCTTTAAAGCTAATACCTAAATCCTCTTGAAATTTTGATTTATTTAAAATTTAAAATCATAAATGTTTGTTATAATTGCACATTTAAAAAAAAAAGAAACATTTAATCCAGTTCTGAACAACTCTTGTCCACATACTGTAAATAGTCTTGACCTGCGTAGAGCAACATAGAACTGCTTAACAGACTGAATGCTACTCTCAATGCTGTTGAACGAGGAAGTAGAGCTTGACCAAGTCCCCAGACCATGCAAGAGCCTAAATTGAACACTACTGTGCCAAAAATACTGTAGAAAAAGGCTCTGCTTGCTGGCAGCTTTCTAATATGTCGTCGAGAGTAAATGTACAAGCCAATGCCACAGTGAGCTTGGAACCAGAATACGTTGTTGACTAATTTATGGACATCTCCAAATGCTCTGTAAACAAGTAGACAATAACTTCAAGTTAACTTGTGACATATATACCTATTTGAAAAGATTTAAACATTTACATTTTTTGGGGACTAAACCTTTTATCTCTATCAAAATTGTCTCTGAAAGCCTGAAGTACCTCACTCAAGTTTTAATAGAAAATGATGACTTCCATCTGAACATTTTTACTACAACGATATAAATATAAATATTCAATAGATGTAAGTTAAGCAACATTATAGTGTATGAAGAAATGGAAGACATTCAGATAAAAGGACAATTGACATTAATCTTTTTTTCTAAATAACAAATTCCCTAAAGATCAGGCTGTGCAAGTCAATTACAAGGGAAATTAGATATTGCATAGTCTAACTTTAAAATAAAGTCAACACACATAATTTACTTAATTTTTTACAAATTAAACCGGGATGCAGAGACAAAGGTTAATATCTGCACTTTCTGTGTATTCAAATCAATATGATGTTCAAAATATCATTTAGGTGAACATTTTTTTTTTGCAACTAGTGTTTGTTTGTAAAATGGTTTACATGTTACAGGTATTCCTTCAGAGTTGAAGATAATTACTTCCTAGTCCAAACCTCCTACAGGACTAGATTATAGAGAAAAGCTGCCATCTACTTTATTCATTTCAAACATTTTCTGTTCAAACTTTTAACAGTCTGACCTATGAAAAAACGGATGGTATCTATGAATTCCTTATATACATCCTTTTGTCTATTAAAAAAAAAGGAATGATTTAATGTATCCTGCTTAGTTAAAATTAAATATGAGGTCAGAGTCGTTGGGTGGGTATCATCAAGCATACTTTTCTCAAGCTAATTTCCCCTTTGGTTAATAAGCTCAATCAAGCGGATGGAAGCCTCAATCGGATCAATTAAAATGTATCTAAAACGTTTAAACTTTAATTTTCACTATGAAGTCATTTTCTTTTTACTCGAGCACATAAGCACCAGCCTTTGTCCCCTTTCCCATCCTCCACAACTTTATTCATGGCTTGTAACTGATGTCATACCAAGGTAGTTAGACATAACAGTGTTACCTGTAGCTGGCGGCACTAGAAATTTTTTTAAATGCCTCTTGCAAGAATAATTTAAAAGGGGAGGGAGTGAAAGGTGATCTCATACTCTTCTCCACTCACTGTGTCTCCACTTTTCAAATATTTGTAAAGGAAAAGGCCAGAGGGGTGGTCTCTACACCCTATTCTGATTACAACATTCTTTGAGACCATACCTAGAGCAAGTCTACTCTTCCAACAGGCTCAGTGCAAGTGCAAACCGGCTTGACACCAGCTCCCATGAGGCAAAACAAGTCTTTACCGTACCTGGTCAATCAATAATTGTATACACTTGTATCGCTCAGATTAGACACAACAGTCATTGTTAGTCTACTAATAGCTCTCCCGTGCGGAACATCTTAGTGTGTAAAAATGACGTCACACATAGTTTTTTGTGGTACAGTACTTAGTCTACCAATAAATGTTATTCTACTATTGTGTTGTAGAAAACTAGATTTGCATACAGATTTAATCTCCATATTAAAATTATAAACAATTATTTTGATATTCTACAATACTCTAGTACTTTTTATCGATAGAAAAAAACTTTGTTGATCAAACTTACTGTTACTAACATGCTAAGGTGTCATCATAGTGCTCAAAAACCCTCATAAATAACTTTAGACTCAATGCACAACATAATTTTTAAATAACACATATATGTGTTTCCTTATTGTCTATGTCTATATTATATGCCAAATATACAAGTCTCTTTAAACTGATGAGTCATCAAAATTTAATCAGCCCTAAGCTCATGACACATCTCCTCCATTACCGGAAGGTAAAAAAGAAATTCCACACCTAGAGTTAGACTAGTTAGGCTCTAGTTATTAGACCTCATCATGAACTTCGCCTTGTCAAGGAAAAGGAGGCAACAGGTGTTGGAAGTGAAGAAAAAAGAACATGTGTAGTAGCAAGATAGCAGTACTTTTGTAAACTTTCAAATAAAGAAGTTTTAGTAATAATTTTAATAAGGATAATGCATTATTTATGATGATTATAAGTAATATAAGGTGAACCGATCGAACCTCTATACAATACAGGACTGCTCGAACTTCATGTTACTCTATATTCAACTAGATCTAGAGTCTATATTATGTATAAAATTCAAGATTGTGTTTGAGACTGAGTAGACTCCAGTCTGACTCCGAGTAGATTTAAAAGTATTATAATCTATAGTCTATAATAGTACTATAATGACTATATTTTTAAGTTTTCACTATTCAAGACTTTCAGTCAATTTCAGAGAATCATAATGTTTACCTGTTGAATTGTGGCTCCATGCAAGCAAGAGAGAAATAACCATAGCAAACAGATCCAACTCCAGGTGCAATTTTGTATAATACATCACTCGGCGTTATCAAAAACTCTGGGAAAAAACTGCTTAAACCCTTAGACTCTTCTTCAATGATGTCGTCCATTTCGTATCCATGCATCATTAACTCGTCAATCTCCTCTTGGGATTTTCTTGGGCTTAATAAACCTTCTGTTAAGTTAAACGCCTCACTTTTCCTTTCATCTTGAGTTTCACAATCTCCAGATTGTGAATATTCTCCATTTGGAGCATTGTTTCCATCAACTGACATTTCATCGGCTGGTTCGCCGATATTCAAGGTTGTGGGGGTCGCCATGATGAAAGCCGAATACAAATGACGTCATAAAAACATAAAAATATAAATTGCAGTTTATAGATCTAGAACTAGACTAGATCTAAATTAGAGTCTACTTTTAAAATTACAGCTAAATAAATTTTTTAAATTAATTAGACTAGTCTAGATCTATATAAATTTAACAAAGACACTAAAATGGACTCGAAAAGAACAATATTAGATCTAAATTTTATGAGAACTAGATCTATTATTTCATTTCTGCTTTTTAAATGCGCTTTTAGTTATATTTCTTGTTTTCCGTACTGCTAATTTAGTAATTTTATGTTCAATCTACAATCAACCTCAATAAATTCGATTCTTTCATATTGATTTTATGTGCATATGACCTTTCATATTTCTTGGTTTGTTTAGCGAATGTAAACACTAAAAGTTGCTTTCATGCATGTTAAGTATTATGTGCGTGTTCAGGGCCGTTCTTACAAATTGCGGCGGGTTGCGCCCCTCTCTTTTTAAGGTACAATGACAATAACGATCAATGAGATCATTAAATTAAATCAACATTTACTACAAAAGCCTATTATAGGAAGCAATTCAAACTCAATAAATGTCAGTGGCCTTATTAAAGTTACGCCAATCGTAAAATAAACTAAATATGTTAACCCTTTAAATCCTACATCTTTAATTTACTTTTAAAATATGTGACAAGAGCTATGACTGATACTGACATGCTAAATGTAAATTGTGGAACCTGCCAGACAATCGGTCTAAGGCCGGTCCCGTGTGTGTTTCTGGTGTAACTATGGAATAGTTCCATATCAATTGTACTATAATAGCTGTTTGGTGCTACAAACCAATCAACAGTACACAACCCGATGCGCTTGCATTTTATAAAAATTTATTGAAAATTTTCTGGCATTTTCTATAAAAAGCTACTTTGAAAGAAAAAAAAAGATACGTTACTGTATATTCTAATTATACTTTGTCATGGGATTTAGAAATGGTCTTTTTATTTTTTTTTATTTTTTGTGTATTGTT